ATCTATATTTATGTCCAAAATATATAAAACCAGAATCAGAAGTTACATGAAAAGCAAAACTCATAATTCATTATGATATTTTGGCACTAAAAAGACATCTAAAAAGACTATCAGGTTCTCCCATTGTCTTCACATTATTAAAAAGATCCCATGTAAATGAAATAAAATTATTCCAATACAGTCAATTATTATAATTACAACTATAGATCAAGTCAAAGAAATTAAGCTTTTAAATGTGTCAGATTATGGAATCTCTACTCAAGCAAATGCAGCACAGCTAATGAACAGTAACCATTGATTGTTTTTGCTTAAAAACACTAATCTTTTTCACATGAGATAATTTCTGTTATTAGTGCAATATAAAGGTCAAAAGTGAACACTTCTGTTAATTGGGATTTTAAATCTCCTGATGAGTTCTAGGTAACACACAAGAAGTAAAATCACAGTCATGTGACCCAAAGAGAACACCCTTTTCTAGAAAATAGTAATATTTTCTAGAAAATATCTATATAGAAAATAGAAAATACATATAGCAATCTTTTCTAGAAAATAATATTATTTTCTAGAAAATAGTTTGTCTTGTCTACATGGAGTAGACAAACACAAAATACATATTTGTTTTGCAAATGGTTATTAGGCTCCAATTTTATAATCTTGCTTTGGACATCTATAGGTCCCATACACAATTTTGCCTTCACAGAAGATGAAAAATGCGTATTTTGGATTAATACGTATCCTGTTTTGTCATTTATCTTCTGACTAGTAAGGTAAATCCAATAAAGCAAGACACACAATCACAGGAATTTGGCTTCATTTTCCAAACGGCAAAATAAAACAAGTCAGATGAAGCAAAGAAAGCATTATAGTAGCAGCTGAATGCTTTTCTCAACAATAAAATTTAATTTCCAAAGTACATGTAATGTATTTTGCTTTTGCACACTGGGTAGTTGTCATTCAAGACTTTATTCCTGGATTAATCTTCTTAAAGCAATTTATATTATAGTTATTACTTCGAAAGTTAGGGCAAGAGAATCAATACTGTAAAAAATATTTACAGTTTTTCCCTTCCATTATTTGCTCTTATTTTTCTTGGTGGTTTAAGAATGTTGCATGATCAGAGTTTCCTTCAGGAACTAAGGAAAGCAGAATCAAAATCCACTGCATTTCAGGGGAGTCTTTCTCAGAGATAGATATTCCACATAAGTTCATACCATGAAAGTTTTTCATCCAAGCCAACCATGCAGGTTCCTCACATGACCAAAAAAGGCAACCAGCTGTGATTTGCACTGAGCATATGTGTGGATATACACGTACACATTATATGGATGTACATTATTTCCTCCTTCATCTGCCACAGTGAGACCCATCACTTTGGCTGGTCTCAGCTCTGTGCAGCAATGGCTCTTATATCCATACTCATTTGTTACTGAATTCCCCTTTTCTTTTGCTGCACCACCCTGGGGCCTCCAGGCTGAAACACGGAATCAATTCACTTGTAATCCCTTCTTGGAAGGCAATTTTACTCCTGAGTCCCTAAGTAATGCAGGAAAGACATAAAACTGCAAAAACCACTAAATTTGGGAAATACTGCCATTATTGTGCTATTACAAGCATTTTCCTTAAAGGCACTTTTTATAACAGAAAAGAATTAAAACTCTGTTAATTATCATGAGTCTTTCTTACCTCAACACTTTCCACTGCTTCAGATATTCTCTCCTTCAAATCTGCAGAAGTGTCATGACTGTGGTGTTGGAGATCTCTCACAACTATGTCAAAATGATTACCCTTCAGCTGACCAAGTCTGAGGTGCTGGTATGCTGGACGGATGTTGTATATTTTCATACCCTTTTTTTCCATTTTGTTTCCAATTTCCTTCAACCTGAATAAGTAATTGGGAGAAATTATGAACCGTCCTCTACTAAAGCTATACAGCTTCTAATGAATGTCTTTTTCACCTTTGCACTGATACTAAAAACACATAAAAAAATAAAATGGGATGTAAAACAATTATTATGAGAAAACAAAATCAAATACAGAGATAAAAGTCTTAAAATTAAGTTATAATCCAGAAATACTTTTTAAAGTATTGTCATTTTTATGATCCTGACAGATGCTGGAATTAAGCAATTCATGGAACTTTCTCAAGAGTAACTGCACTGAATTTTTAATATTTTTAATTGAAAAACTAGTAATGTTTTTACTCTTACCTCCTCAAAACCTGTTTTTAGAGAGAAAGGAAAAGGTAGTGTGCTCTAGCAGACCCCAAAATTGCTCTTTCTTCATCAGCCTTAACAAAAACAAATTCAGTGCACTGATTCTCTGGGTGTGCTCGCAAATGCTTGTAATTGGAAACACAGCTGACAGTTCAAATATTTACACTTTAAAATACCCACTCAATCTCTTTGCTCATATGTGTAAACAAGAGTGACTCAAATCAAAGGAAAATTTCAGCATAAGAGCTTGAATCCTAAGCAATATTTTAATAATTTCATAAACTGTTTATTCATAAAAAAGATTTCTCTTGCTGTGAGGATGCATTTACCTATTTTTCTTCATAACTTAAACACTAACACAAAGTTTTGCTAATTACCTCCTAGACAACTGGCCTTACAGTCCAGTTTGCAGTGGATATTTACCATTGAGTGCTAAATTGCATATTCCCTAAAGGCACAAAAGATTAAAGCCATTTCCATTGTGCTCTATACAGACAAGGGGAAAACACATCAGAAAGGACATTTCAAGAGATTGTACTATTTTGATACTTATTAACGCCAAAAACTACATATTAAACTGCTTGTACCCAGATTTTAATTACCTCTCGGGAGTCACCTTCTTCACCACCATAGGCTGCAAAGTGATAGCCTTCTTATCTTTGATGCCAGTGTAACTGAAGTCTGAAGGAAGAACATCAAGTTCAACTGCCAACAAGCCAATTGCTTCTAGTGTTTCTAGGTTTTCTTTCTGAAGGGTGAAAGCTGAAACAACCATCTCAGAATTATTAGGAACTTGACTTTATGTTTCAGTGTTCTGCCATGACAGACGGGCAAGTTCTTCCCCTCAAACTGCAACAGCATGGAAACTGTAAAGAAACTGTCCTCCTACCCCACAAAACTAAATCAAATGAGACTTTTACAGTATAGAAGGAAAGGAATAAAAATTATACACAAAATTCAGACAAATCAAAAACCCTGATGCCTTTAAAAACAGCACCTCATAAAATACAACACAATTCAACAGACATGCATGGACATATTGCAGGAAACATTCTCTGTATCAGAGGATGCAAGAATGAGATCATAAGTCAAATTTTACCTTACTAACTTGTTCAGTATCTAGATGCACCTCCAAAAACCCCACAATTACTTGTTCAGTATCTAGATGCACCTCCAAAAACCCCACAATTACTTTCAAGGGAAAGCTATCACCCTGGGAAAGCCACAGAGTTAGTTAGTGGCTACAATCAAAAGAACTGTAACCGTTATGCCAAATGGTTGCAGTAACTTGATTCCTCCATTTCATTCTCCAGGGATACAACACCACTGCATTGATAATTATTTATTTCAACATCAACAATGAGTTGACAGGCCTATGTGTCATATAGAAATGATCCTGAGTATGTCTTTCTACAGAACACCTTCACTAAAAATGAATTTACCTGTATAAACATCTTGCTTCTGAAAACCACCAGCACACCTTTTTCTGGACAAACTTTTTTCTCGAAACCGTACTATTATTGATGTATTTGGCTGATCATTGGCATCTGTCATGGTAAAAGATTTTGTTTCTAAAAGCTTTCCAAATTTCCTATTGATGAAGTGGTGAACTGTTTTCCTGTGCTCTTTGTTTCCATCAGGCTCAAAAGAAAACGTAGAATTTTCTAGCTTTGCATCTAAAAATTTAAAGAAATCACTTGTTTCCTTTTCAGTTACTAACTGACAAAGTTCTCTGTAATCGGGATTCCCTTTTACAATCATTTCATTGTCTTTCGTAACAGTGACTAGAAAGGGATATTTCTGCCTAACAGCACTGTGTAAATCAGCTCGAATTTTCTTGTCCAGCCTAGGTCCCAGCGAGAACTCCCTGGCACCAGCATCCGCGTTGTTTTCCAAGCCCCACGCATCCTTCACATCGCAGGCAAATTTGTTGAGCAGTTCGCTCACGGGCTTGCCGAGTAAGGACTCCAACACAGGGGCTTCCCCGGGGCCGGGCTGCAGATCGGGGTCTCGCTCACGCTGACTTCTGCCGGGGGATGCAGCAGAGCCGCCCCCCGCCCGGCTTGGGCCGCGCCCCGGGGGCCCGGGCGCGGCATGCCGGGGGCACCCGAGGGCGCCGGGCCCGGGCGGCTCCGGCCGCCGCTTCTTGGGCTCCCGCGGACACGGGCGGCTCTGTGCCGGCGGCGCTTCGCTGCTCTCCTGGAGCAGCTCAGCTCGGGCGTCCCTGAGGAGGAGCTCGGGCACCTCGAGCTCTGTCACCACGAAGTCCCTCGGCGAGTTTTTGATGGTGCCGCGGAAGCCGGTGTGCTCGCCCAGGTAACTGAAGGAGGGCAGCATGGCTGCCCTGCTCCCCGCCAGGCCCGCCGCACCCGCAGCGGGCGGAGAGGGAAAAGGGAGAGGGCCGGAACAGCATCCACTGCTACGAAAAGGCTGCTGGAAGGCGGGGAGGGTGGCTGGCTGGGGCAGGGACGGACGGACGGACGGACGGACGGATGGATGGATGCAGGGACCGAGGCACGGACGGAGCGGCGGGACCCGCACGCCCCGGAAACCGCCGCCAGGGGGCGCCACCACCTCCACCGCTCCCTCCTCCCATCAAACGGGCCCAAGGACGTCACCAAGTTCCCCAGGGCCGGGGGGACAGACGACGAGGCAGCGAGCTCCCCCTCCTCGCGGCCGGACATGGGCCGTACCGGGGGCGGGGCCCCTTTCGGCCGCCTATGGGAGGGCCAGGTGGGAGAGCGCTTCCGCTGGGTCCTCCCCGCGCCGGTGACGTCAGCGGCACCGGGGCTGGGCCACGCCCCCTTAAAGGGGAAGCCGTGAAGGTGAGAGGCGAAGGGGAAGCGGCGCGCCGGGAACGCCCGGTAGGGATCGTGGGGCCCGCGGGCAGGAAGCGACGGTGAGGCGTGAGGGGACCCGGGCGGCTCCGGGTGCGGGGGGCGCTGGCAGCCGGGAATGGTGGGCGGGAGCTGCGCCGGTGGGGGCTGTGGCAGCCGTCAGGCCGGGGGCGGCTGCGGCGCCTCGCTGGGCGGGCGCTTCCCGGAGAGCCGCTCGGGTAACGCTGTGTCCCGCCAGGAGCCGGAGGATGGGCGAGCCCGTGACGGACTCCACGCATGTCCGCTGCCTGAGCTACGGGCTCGTGAGGAGGCTGGCAGACTTCATCGACCCGCAGGAAGGGTGGAAGAAACTTGCGGTGGATATAACCAACCCGTCCGGTGAAAGCAGATACAGCCAAGTGCACATAAGGTCCTACATGAAAGTCTCGTAACGTAAACTCGTGAATTACTCGTTCAACACAAACACCTTGTTAATCCCGCTTTCCATCCCATTCCTGTAACTTGCTGCACTTCGTGTGCTGGTGGGCACTTGGGTCTTGCAGTCCCGTTTCCTTAGGGAAAGCAAGGTAATTACTCCTAATTGTACTGCAGCTCAGGCTTTAAGCAAGCTTCAGAAAATTGACTAAAGAAATTAGTATTAATTAGAACTACAGACATGGGTATTTTTAGCAATACAGCACGGGCTGCATAACTTTCTGTACCCTAAAGACTAGGATTGATATTACAGTGTCAAGAGACAGCTGTACTGTAACTCCTAATTCACTGTTCCCAAGAAAATGCCCAATAAACGTGGGGAGCCTAAGGCCTAAAACTGACAAGTTTACTTGAGGAGTAATGCTTGCAATATTTTACGAGCACCTCATTGTTTGAAGGGCTTGTTGAATCCTTGTTGAAGCTGTTTCAAAGACAGATTTTTAGATGCTGTATATATATCATCATGGGTTTCCAGTCTTTTCTAGTAATGGTAGTATTAAATCTTTGTTTTTCTTTCAATAATAATATTAAATCAGTCAGAATACTGGATCTTATTTTTATTGCTCATCTCAAAATATTCAAGATGGGGTGTGAATGCTAAATGAATGCAAAACAATTATTTTTACATTTGATCTGGCTCTGACTGTCTCTGGGTCTCTGGCTAACAGTCTCTTCTTTGTTTGTCCAAGATGCCAATATATTACGGATCCTATACAAACAGCTGAAGTTATGTATACATGTATTTCCCATCATTTTTCTCATATTTTGCATGCTTTTACCCTGATTTTAAATATGTTTAGGGTTTTTTTTGGATGTGTCTTCAGAAGATTTGTGGGTTTTGCAGTGCATTCAGATTTTTTTTCAATGTGTTTTTTTTTTTTTGTCATTTGCCTTTAATCTCTTTCCCTTCATGCTTTTTGAGGCATTTTTTTCTTTTTTTCATATTTGTCTTAACTTATCTTTTAAGGAGATTTGAGGCATTTGTACAAATGGGAAAGAGCCCTACGTGTGAATTGCTTTATGACTGGGGAACCACAAACTGTACAGTTGCTGATCTTGTGGATCTGCTGATTAGGAATCAGTTCCTAGCACCAGCAAGCCTTTTGCTTCCAGGTAACTGTCACTCTTGTACATTTTGTACTATGTTCTCAGTTTTCTAAGATGCTAGGGAACTTCACACTAACTTGAAAATCAGAAAGGATTGCGTTAAAACCTAACCAAATTTGAATATATTTTCCCCTTTCTATCATTTATAATAATAGTTTAAGTAAGAGTTTCAAGTTCCAATAAGAGTGCTTGAGTTTACACATGGTGGCAGAATATAACCTGGTGATACATATGTGTCTCCTAGTTTTCAAAAATACTGACATTAGCATGACTTAGTTTTTCTCTGGTTCCTAATGTAGTTAACGCTTTTTCTAAATTCCCTTTTCAGAAGCTGTAAGGATGCCACAAGAAGTTACATTACCTCTTTCTTCACAGGAAACCTTGCCTATGCATGAGAAACAACTACCTGTACAGGAAAAAAAAGTGGCATCTGTAAAGCCTGTTTTAGCTCAGAGTACTGAGAAGCATCATTCAGGTTCTTCCTACTCAAGTGAAGAAAACAGCAGCTCACAGTCCAGTAACACAGGTAGACATTGGTAGAATTCAGTGCTGTTTTTTTGCTGATCTGTCCTTCACCCCATGTGAAATAAATCATAGGGGCGCATGAGAGTGATGACTCTATTCTACTATCATGGTGCATCTGTGGAAAACAGCATCTTGCCAATAAGTCACCTAATTTGAGAGAAAACATAACTGTTAATTAAATTGCAATTTCTTTTTTGCCACACGTAATCCTGTTGCACTTTTCCAGTTCTTATTTTATAGACTGTTCAGCATCTCATGCTTTAAAACTAGATTTTGTATGTCAGAAATTACTAAGAATGCTGGAATAAAGATGACTAAAGAAGGCATTTTAGGAAAGTGTGTGATTGGTCTGTTCTTTCCTAAAGGCTGACTTTTGGGTTGCTGCCAGGAACATGATGTAATCTTGGTGTATTTTTTGTATATAAGGCAGTGGGACTCTCTCTGCCACACATATAATTTCTATTATCTGTATTACAAATATGAATCAAAAACACAATCAAGTGCATACTACAGTGTTAGTTGTGAAGAAAATGATGTGTAGGTAATTATATATGTTTATTTGCCTTCCTTTTGTGTGTCTGGAATTTTCATCACAGAGCTGGACGTAGGGCTCCACTGTGTCAGGTTTCGTGTGGTAGCAAGTTTTTGTTTTAAGAGAACTGAAACAGAGAACCTTGTTCCTTATGTGAAAACATAGTTTTATGCTAAATGTCAATGTCTTTCAGATTTCCAGAATTTTTTGTTTCATGACTTGGAAAGCATTACAAATAATTTTGATGTGCGACCAGAATCAGCTGGAGGTAATAAACTGGGAGAAGGTGGATTTGGCATTGTGTTCAAAGGCTACATCAATGGCAAAAATGTGGCTGTCAAGAAGCTCATTGCTGTAAGTTGTTCTGGGAATTTTTCATTTTAATGACTATGTACTTTATATAATAGACTTCTTTATCTTGTTTATTGTGAAAAGTGTTGAATGATACATTTCAAAAAGTGTTGTCACCATGTTGCACATTATTTGGATTAAGAAATTTACCCTTAGTCCCATCAGTGTTGCAAGTCAGCACAGTCACAGGAGCTAATTTTGCCTTCTCTGTAGCTCTCCTTTGAGGGGCTAAGCAAATTGTTGGGAAGAGCAGAGTGCTTTCCCAGTTATTTTCCCCTCATCCTCAAGAAGTGCCAGAAGAGAAGGAGTCCTAAGGAGGTTTCCATTTCAGATTAGGATGGCTGAGATTCACAAGGTAAATAGGTATTGTCACAGAATTTTAGTCTTTGTAACCATTCTTTTGTGTGAATATTGAATTTTGTAATTAAGTGCTTTTAGGTGGTAACTGCAATGAATGGAGTAAGTTGTTGACTTATACTAGATCCACTTATACAGTGTTTCAAGGAATTTAAAGTCATGTTCTGATACTTTATTTTTGAGCTGAGTCAAAGGTGTATTGTGAAAGTTACTAAGAAAGGCCTTCAGTTATTTTTTTTCCTTAATTGACAGCTGTGCATTTTATGATGAACCAATGATGTTAATGTCAAATACTTCTTTTTATAGATGGTTGATGTTAGTGTTCAAGACTTGAAACAACAATTTGAGCAAGAAATAAACATAATGGCAAAGTGAGTGCATCATTATACAATTTTTGTCTTTCTAACGTAACAATTTGCATGTTAACTGACAATGTGTATTGTACAGCACAATCACGTTTTGTTTGTTTTAAAACATCACCACACAAACCTGGCTTTATGCAGTAGAGGTGAAATAAGTCATTGGGAATCAAGTTCCCTCTGCCTTGTGTTTTCCTCAGATGTTTAGAGTCTTTCAGAGCACATGTGAACAGATACTTACTATTTTTTTTGCTATAGGTGTCAGCATGAAAATTTAGTAGAATTACTTGGTTTCTCAAGTGATGGTGCTCAGCCATGTCTGGTGTATGAGTACATGCCTAATGGTTCATTGCTTGACAGGCTTGCTTGTCTGGTAAGTGAAATCTCTTAGCTTCCAATTGCCTTACTTTGCTAAAGTATAGGAATCTGTGCAATGTCCTTCAAATGGAACTGAACTGTGATGTCCAAATGGTGTTTTACTACTTTCTTCTTATGTTCTAATAATAAGTATTCTTCCAATAAGATTTTACACAAACATTTTAGATTAAAGTCAAATCAGGTTGTCAGTGCAATGTCAATGTACTGGTATCTGAAGCATCACAGAAGCTTGGACTGGCTATGCCTGTGTGAGGCAGTGCAGAGGGTGCTGCAGTCTTTTTTCCCAGTTCTTATGTTGGCATGTTCTCTTCTGCAGCAATTGAGGTTGTAATCTGCTGAACATTTTACATTGGTGCTACTTCAACCACCCATGTCCCCAGACCTAAATTGTCAGGCTTGTTTTTTTTTTTTTTATGCACTGATTCTCTGGTTTTACTGGTTCAAGCATCTATCAGTTGGAGAAATATGTGGATTAGGGAACTGATCAGGCTGATACAATAATACTTGGTTAAAAAAATATTTAATTTTCACCTGGAGACAAGATTTTGCATTTCCTTTGAAGGGCTGCACAAACTCTTCTGCTGCAGTGGGAAAAAAGTGGTGCTGTGATGAAAATGAGTAGCAGTGCCTGGGGAAAGGACTAGTACTGTTAGCACTGCTGTGTCAGTTTAGATTGATTTGTTTGCTTGCATACATTGCTACAGGTGCAATTATTTTGTTTTTTTTTAATGAATCAGTGCAGAAGAGAGACTAAGTCTTACCTAAGGACAGTGCAAATTTATGTGTAGAAATGAGCAGTGCTTTAAAAAGATGCATATGAAAATGGTTATCCATGTAACTAGCTGTTATCATCAAAGGAGCTTTAAAGATGAGTCCTTTACAAGGAAGAGACACACTTATGACATAAATCAAGGAATCTAAATCATAATCTATAAAATAGAATCTTTTTCTAATGAGATCAGAGAGTGAGTAATGTATTTACTTGAATATCTGTTCTTGCTGAAGATTTTGTGAGTTCACTGGATGTATTTGATGCATGGACTCTTTATTGTGTCATCTTTGTGTCTGGATATTGAGCAGGCAAGAGAGGTGGTAGAATGGTGAGATACTGTGAGAATGGCCACTTCCCTTGGCCACTGACAAGATTTTTGATGATTGGTTTTTAAATGTAGATGTCCTTACTTCTGAGGTTTAATTAGTAGCATGAATAAAACTAAACTCTCAAGAAATCCCAAAAAGGCTGGAAGATTGACTTCTTCTTGTTAGTAAAAACTATGGATTGCTTTGAATTATTTGCTTCAGGTTGAAGGCTCTGGTATCAGTGCCAGTACAAAGTGGGAGTTGCAGTAGATACAGATAGGTCTTTGCAGAGCAGCTGACCTTGGAGTGTCAGAATCAAACATTAACCAAAAACATTTTTTGCAACTGGCAACTTAATCTAAGGCAAAATACAGGAAAAAAATGAAATGTGATAGAGGCATGTATTTCTGCCCAAATAAATTAAGACATGTATGCTGGTAGTGTTTTTAATCATCTACTTGAAAACAACAAAACATAGCAAGAAGTTGCTTTTGGGTTGTGGGGATTTTGTATGTTTGTTTGGTTTATGTGAGCATATATATATTTTTTCAGATTTTTACTTACCTTTCTCTCTTAATCAAGGATGAAACTCCACCAATTCCTTGGAATATGAGGTGTAAAATTGTTCAAGGTACAGCAAATGGCATCAACTTTTTGCATGAAAATAATCACATTCACAGAGATATTAAAAGGTAAAACCTGTGGAGTATTGCTGGCTGCATTTTCAAATTTTAATTTTTCTTTTTCATCTTTCCCCTGTTAAATCAATTTTAGAGAGAACAAACTGTAAAAAGCATTACTTCAGTCAAGGGCACAATCTTCTGCAAGTGACATCCATCACCACAACCTTGTCTGTGCCACAGGAACATGACCAGTACAGGCTTCTAAAGATAATTATGGGGCTAGAACCATATAATTGCTTAGACTGGAAAAGACCTTTAAGATCATCAAGTCCAACCATTAACCCAGCACTGCCATGTCCATTGCCAAACTATGTCCCAAGATGCTTGCATCTACATGTCTCTTAAATATCTCCAGGGCTGGTGACTCCACCACTTTCCTGGGCAGCCTCTTTCACTGCTTTGCTTGGTGAAGAAATTTTTCCTAACACCTAATTTAAACCTCCTTAGGCACAAATTGAGGCCGTTTCCTCTTGTCCTATTGCATGCTGCTTGGGAGAGAAGACTGACCCCCACCTGGCTCCAGCCTCCTGTCAGACAGTTTAATTGTAGGGAGTGATAACACCTTCCCTGAGGCTCCTTTTCTGCCAGCTCCCTTAGCTGCTGGACAGCATTCCAGTCATAGGATTTTGCATTGTAATTGTAATTGTGTTAGAAATTTAATATGTAAGTTGTAATTTATATAATAATCTATACTTTGAAATAGTTATTTGAGTGCCATGAGAACACATGGAGTTCTGTTCTTTAACAACTGCTTCTAATGAAGCTGTTGTTGAGGAGCAATTAATTTTTAAATAGGGAATTTTTCAGATAAAAACACACCTTTCTTTTTTCCTTTTCGTAGAACACTTCCTCAGATTGTCTCCTTTGATTTACTCCTATTTTTTATGAATATAGTAAAATTATTTCAGTCAAGTTCATGAAGTTCAGGGTTCTTCAATGATAATAAATGTTAATTGTTTTTTACACCAGAGTTTTTTTTCCTATGGATATCAGAACTCAGAATAGGTGAGAGTTTGGTTGGCTTTTCTCTTTTTGTTGTTGTTTATTTCCTCTTTCACGCTACATAGTTTGCTGTGTTGGCTTTTTTAAAAAGCAGCCCAAATCTTTGAAGAAAAGCCCCAAATGCCTTTTTCCATCTGATGGTTAAGAAAGAGCAACTGATTGGGTGTTACGGATGAATGTTTCAGTAGCTTTCTGGCTTCTGGCAGCTTTGTTAAATACAGACAACTTCAGTTTTGCAACCTTTCAGCTTGGGGAGAACGAGCATTTGCTTCAGCTACCTCTCATGTATGTTATGTGCTTCCTGCTTTGACAGTTTGTTTCTTCTTTCCTGCTTAAGCCTCTGGAGAAGTGTAATGACTGGAAGGGATGCACTTTTTTACCTTATGCTGCCTCTACCCTTCTAACTGCTGTGAGTTGATCATATTAGACAACTGGGTTTGGGGTTTTTTTTTAACATTTTGCAACTTGTGTGAGTAGTTCAGTACATTCGATTAGTACTATTAATGGTGCCACTCCCAGATAACATTTAGATGAAGAGACATCTAAGATTACTTCAGTCTTCATTTTGCTGTTATATGTAGACCATTTATAAACACACAGACATTAGAACAGCTTCTCTAGGCTAGAGGGGACAAGATTTAATGGGTATTCTCACAGTTGTTCATAGTTTTTTGGACTGGTTATGCCCAGGAAATAGTTCAGTCCTCTTTTGAAGCTTGAAGGTTGCAGTAAAAATTGCATTTGTTATGCTTTTTTGTGGTGTACCAAAAGAAAAAATACCACTCTTTGGACTTGACTGTTGATAAGAAGCTGAGATTTATGAAGTTGTGATATTAATATCTTTTTTTTTTTTTAAGAAGTTGAGCTTTAAACAGGAAACCAGCTGGTGGATGATGCCTTGACAAGTGTCTGGCCTTTTGTCATAATCATATATCTAGCATTATTTACAGCAGTTCTGACATCATGTGATCCATTGTAACTTACAGCTGTGTTAATTTTGTTCAGGTTTGGCGAACAAGAAGGGGAAGTTATACTTCTAACTTTCTAGGAAGTTTTATATGTTATATCTGGCATTGTTGATTTCTTACAGTTCCATTAAAGGGATCAGAAAATGAGGATTTCATAAATATTAAATCCAGCTATTTTAAAATGGTTTTAAATGGTACAAGATTAAAACCCAGTAGATTTCTGCTGTAACTCACCCCACTGAGTATTTTATGAAAGTGTTAAGGACTTTGAGATGAGCCCCATTTGCCAGGGTTGCTTTTTTTTTTAAGGAAAATAAAAGCTGGAGGTCAAGTAAAAATATGGCACATACAATATTCTAGCAGTAATTAAGTTTTCTGGTTTTCTTTTAAGACAAGCATAAGAGTATTACTCATTTGGCACATCAATTTGTCATGGTTGACATAGTATTAGATAATACGTATAAAAACTGCTTTTGTTAGTTCTGAGCAGAGATTTAGACTGTAAGAATTAAACTGTGATCCAGTAGAAGTCGATCAGAGACAAGTATTCTGTATTGTCCCTCTTAAAGCAAACCATAAATGTAACATAATTGGTCTGTTAAAAGAAAGTTTTGTATTTCTAAGGTTTGGGGGTAGAGAGAGTGTCTAGTTTTTTCCCTTGTGGTTTTTGTTTTTTTTTTTTTTTTTTTTTTTTTTTTTTTTTTTTTTTTTTTTTTTTATTTTTTTTTTTTTTTTTTTTTTTGCATGCATGCATACACACAAGAAAAAACATGGATGGATCTTGCAGTCAGTTCTTCATTTGTTTATAGGAATGAATTTTGAAATTGAGCAATTTCCAACAAAACTAAATTTACTTAACTTGTTTTGTGAATAATGTATAAATATATTAGCTTTCAGGATAGTCAAAATAGCAGTTTACATTTGGTTACTAAAGAATTATTAGTCTTATTAAAACCTATTTATGTACTGTTTGGAAAATTCTCTTACTTTTTTTGGTTTTTTTCCCCTACCTCCCCTCTCTACCAGTGCAAATATCTTATTAACTGATACATATGTGCCCAAAATTTCTGACTTTGGCCTTGCAAGAGCATCAGTAACATTCACACAGACAATCATGACTGAAAGAATTGTTGGAACAGCAGCCTATATGGCACCTGAAGCTCTGCGAGGAGAGATAACACCTAAATCAGATATCTTCAGTTTTGGAGTAGTAAGTAGAATGTGGGAAGCAGTATATGACTTCTTTTGTAAATGCTAAAAGCACACAAAATCAAGAGTATCTGAAATGAAATTATTACTGTGGTCCATAATTTTTTTTCCCCAACAGATATTTTCTTAAGATAGTGTTTCTAAACTTTCACTGTGTAAAAATAATTTGAATATGTTGATTTGCTATGTGAAATACCAGAGCAAAATATTCCAAGTTCTAGCTAAATGTGGTTTGAAGTGGTGTGGAACGTAGTTTTTGCTTGCATGGTATTGCACAAAAGTGTAACTCAGGCTGAAAAATAAAATTTAAGAAAATAGTCCAAAATTATTGTGTTTTACTATATTCAACACCAAAAATATAATGTCCATGCTGAATTTACCTTAGAGCTGAGTACAAAAAAGACATGACCTTAATATTAGAAAGAAAATTTAATTTGTTCTGAATCACTATTGACCACTTCCTTCACAGCATTTAGTTTCATGGGAAGGTAGGCCCAACATTATGTCTGAATAGTTTGGAAATCCTTCAGTCTTGCTGTGAAGGAACACTATGTAGTGACAATAACTTGTGTTGAAATTTGTAAGCAATGCTGCTAATAAGAGTTAATGAAAATAAAGGTAGGAACAAAACCAATTAATTGTATAGGAAATCTTTGGACAAACACAGATACTGAGAGTATGTGTTGACAGGCTGGAGGTCATGCTCCTTTTTGCAAATCATATATATGCTAAGGGTTATTATGTGATTTATTTTCTCTTCTGATTTTTTTTCCTTTTAGGTCTTACTAGAAATAATAACAGGTCTTCCTCCAGTAGATGAAAACCGGGAGCCACAGTTGCTGGTATGTTCTTCCTGTTTTCTCCTTCCCTCCCACTGCTCCAGGATCACTTTATATGAAATCATAGTAAGTTAACAGGTTCTGAGACAATCAGTTGTTGGTCAGTAATTTCAGACTGACCCACTGAGGAAGGCAGATCTGCCTCTACTCATTGCCTTTTATGTCATTTATACTTCCTCAAAGAGTACGCGTGATTACAGATAACCCACTTCAGGTGTGTTGGAACTGAGGACTTTTGGACTAAACCAGTCACATTTAAAATTCGATTTCGGACTAGAAGTTTCTAGCAGATACCACAGCCACTGGGACTGGAGACAGAAATTTAGTTTACAGACAGACATTCATTTACAGGAAGAGGCTTTATAAAACTAATTAAAAAATTATACCAACTTCAGCTTGTGTACTTGTGGGTTATTAGGATACTTTGTTCATTGTGCTTCTTCTCTTACAAAAGAAACAATACTAGAAAATTGAGTCTTGAAGTGGGAGACAGTTAAATCTGTATGATACAACTTAAGGAAATTTGCTCTATGACATTGTAGTAATTAAAATGGTACAGAATAAAAATAAATAATTAATTAAAATGTATAGTTTATTTATACTCTCACATGCTGTTCAGATACTTAAAATGTTATCTGCTTGTTGGTTCAAATTCTCTTGTAGTTAACCATAAAAGATGAAATTGAGGATGAGGAGGCAACTATTGAGGATTATGTTGATGTAAAGATGAGTGACTGGGATGTACCTTCAATTCATAAAATGTATTCAATTGCTGATCGGTGTCTGAATGACAAGAAAAACAGAAGGCCGGACATTAAAATGGTATGTAGTCTCAGGAAAAAGGCTTATTTAGGTGAGTGTGTGTGTGTGTGTGTGTGTGTGTGTGTGTTCCCTGTGTATGGTTACAGTATCAGTTAATTATATTTCTGTCTGTTCTTGTCCAGGTCCAACAGCAGCTCCAAGAGATAAAAACTTGATAATGTGTTTCTTCTGATACACCAATGTTTCTGTAATGGAGACATCAGTACCAAACGTTTAATCAGTATTTTGTCCAACATTATCAGTGACTCTGCTTTCCAGAACTTTCTGGACACACGTAAAGTGAACTGTTGGCCTGTCAGCAGCTCTTTCACATTTCCTTTGTCACAGGAACCTTATTAACATGGGAAAACTCTTTCTTGTATTAACAAGTTGCAGTGCTAGTACATCATCATCTCCTGCAGCTTTTTAAATGCATTTCCATATTTTAATCTATTTGATTCTTTTTATTTCTAGATATCTAGTATGTCTGCTGCAAAGGCATATGACTGTAACTGGTCAGAATGTTTTTTCTGTAAATTGCTTTCTTGATCAGGTGTACTAGACCTTTGTCTATTGAAGACAAAACCATTTAATAGCTATAATGGTACTTAATACTGTATTTTTGAGAAATGACAATAGTATTACACAGTTTAAACAAGCTTCTACTTAATATTTTAGCTTAAGAGTTCATATTAGAGTGAATGGTCTGGTACTCTTAGTGAATGTGATTATTATCAAAAAGTCTTCTTGGTATTAGTTTTAGTCAAATAAAGGCTGCAAGACATTTTCTAGGTTGTTTTTTCATTTCAATAATTCCCAAGCAAAATGGTGATCTTGCTGTGCAGATGCATTTACATTTGCAAATGCTTTCTTACACTGAACTCCATGATGACAAACCATTTAATTTTTATTCACAGGAAGACTCTTAGCTACTTTGACTATTTTAGGAGGATTGAGTATTTTTAGTACTTTAGGAGAGGCTTCTATATGGATTATAAATACAAATGGTTGCTTTTCTTAAAGTGATCAGAATAACGATGTGAAGATCAATTCTGCATTTTACTTAGTCAAATAATTAAGCTATTTTAAATATATATTAACTAAATACAAAAACGCACTTCTGAAAGTATAAATAGAAAGGTTTTTAAAATAGAAACATTGACAGATCAAAGCAGACTAAAAATGGAATGAAAGTGACTAGTAAGATTCCAGATACTTTGGAATAAGCATGAACATATTACCATTGTAAATGAAGATGTTATTTTCATATAAACTCATTTTGCACCTCATGAACTTTCTTAATAGCTTAGGGATACAAATACAGTCCAGCCTACAGTTAAATTTGAAATTCTGTGATTGTGTAACTTCATTCAGAATATATATCTCATTGTAGCAAGCATGTGATTTCTAATTTAATGATAGCATTAGATTTCTGGCTATTTATTCATTATTTAGAATTTAGAAAAAAGGATCTACCTAATGGCTTCTGGATTTTTTGATTATAAATTGTAAAAAAGTGTTAACATTAAAAAACCCTCTGCATTACTACTTCTTTCTACTATTAAAACTTAAAGCCTTGAAAATACTTATAATTTTATGTTGCTTGCATTTTTGTTAATAACATAATGGTAATCTCACTGCATAGAATAAAGCTGTACAGCTCTGAACCTGGAGAAAAAAAGCTGCTATAAAGCTAAATTAGAATAAAATCTGCTGAAGCCATTCTTCAGTTTTAAGCAACTCCAGCTGTTATGTGAAGGTTTCATATTAGATCATGTCTATTTGCTATTCCCTGGAGCTGGAATACAGCTGTAGTGTTGTCCAGAAGTCTGTTTGCTGTAGCAACTCCCTGGTTAGCTCTGTTCACCTCTAGTAAGGTGGAACATTTTTGTTCATACACCAACTGTGATATTCTGCAGTTTGAGGAGAATCTCAGTCATGGGAGTTCCTACTCTGTCATACTAGACCATTAATATTTGCAGTGCTGCTCTCAGCAGTAAGGTTTTGGCAGTAGTTTTCCCTTCCTCACTGAAAATGAAGCAATGTTAGCTACTATTTCATACAATTTAGAAAAAAGTTTTGAACTTCTTTATTGATTATGAGGGGTTAACTAGGTAAAACTAGCTAATGTATGTAGCAACTATTTTTTTTAAATATGCAGGGGGCAAGGAGAAGGAACTTGGCTTTTTTTTTTTTTTGAGGTCTCCATACAGTAAAGTCAACATCTCTAAACACTAACAGAATAAGAGTAGCTGACTTCAGTTTATTTTGTTCCCTCCAAAAACATTAAGTTATCCTAGAATACATACTACTTTGTGTTAGTTACTATAATAAGGCTTTCTACTAGCACACAGGTTAGTAACTTGAGTCATTCAAGATACTTGTAATGGGATGATTTAGTTTCATGAACTGGAAGTCCAGTAGTATAGTACAGTAGTTCATGCTAAGCAAGTAAGAACAGATAGAACTATTCAATCACCAGTCAACTACTTCAGCATTTTAAAATGTTTGAAGGGGAATATTACTGAAAGCACAAAAAGCTCAAGAGAAGAACACGCTTGGATTCTGTCATGGTGCTGCTCCCATAAAGCGATGAGAAAGTAGCTGTTTCTAAAAAAGTGATTTTTCTCTAAAAGCAAAAACCAGGAGCTGTGTTACTGCTCACCTCCCTTCTTACACTCCGCTGTTACTTTCTAGTTCCATGGGAACTGCCTGTTACACATTCTGATCTTAGAATATAGATCTTCATTAAAGAGACTATGAAATGATTCAGACAACACCAAGCTAAAGCATCAATCTTTATTTATAAAGTAAATTACAAAATAGATACGGTAAACTTAGTTAATTTTCGCATCTGAAGGTGACTTTCATTTAATACATTAACACGCTGATAAAATTTTTTATTTACAATGTCAATCTAAGCAACAAAGCAATTTTTACCTTGATTAGTTTAACCGTTGATAGGAGTGTTTTTAAAAGACTGGGATCTCCCTAACTTGCAACATAAACATTTATTAAATAATTACCTGTCCTGCTGATTAACTTTTTAATAGCTTGTGAGTTAACTGCAAGCAGCTGCATTGCTTTTGAGCTTTCTGAAGGCCAACAACAATTTGAATGGACACTTTCAATTATTTAATGACCAGAGACAGTTAATGGAGCAACTTTGATTAATGCCCACATTTTGCCCTGGTTCTGAACATTCGTGAACAGAAGTGGAGGCAACTATGTAGATGTAAACATGATAGATTGTACAAAAAGAACAGATAATTCTTATTGCTGTTAGGCGAATAGCTACAAGAGGCCTGAAGAAGCAGCCAGCAGTGCAAGACTTCATACAATTCTCTTTTTGGGAAAAAGTGAGGGGGAGACATGCTCAGGGCATGACTGACTCCTGTCTGGGCTGGGTGTGTATATCACATAGAATATTTTCACATAGGGAAATTCACAATGTCTGGTTTGGGCTTAACTCTAAAGCAGCTCATCATAAATGCTCTTGCATAATCACTTAACCAGCTCTCATCATTCTCCAGATTAAGTTTTTCCATCTCCTATCCTCATCTACCTAGGGCAGGATTGCACAAAGAAACAAAAACAGAAACCAAAAACAACAGCAAAAAAAAAACAAACAGACATCCAACAAACCCCCACAACATGCACACAACCATATCGGGTCAAACTGTTCATTATTTAAAACATTTAATCTTAAGAAGCTGGACTTCTTTACTGGCTCAAAAAAATGTAGAGGTATGTGCACTCTTGCTACAGCTGGCGTAAGGGCAGGAATACTAAATTCAAACAACCCCCTAGCAGTAATTTTTAAATGCTACACTCCTTAAAACCAAACCAAAACAAAAATTCCAAAGTGAATTAGGTGTGTTACAAATACTTGAGTTATTCTAAAAATACATTTCATTACAGCATACAGTGAGCTGCACACACAGCAACCATATTCAAAAAACAATGACACCTGCCTGACACACAGTACAGAACGCAAGAGGCAGTTAAAGAACACAAGAGCAAGCAGGAGATTAGCTGAGGATCAAGAGCTATTGAATTGGACTGATGTAGTGTGTAAAATTAAATGAAAAAAAAAGCTGAAGTGTAAAATTGCTGCTGCATATAAAAAACCCACGGAGATACCAACTATTGCAACCATCACATTATATAGTGCAATCTCAGATGTCAATAGTAAGCTAGTATAGCCAAACAAAATAGTAGATAAAACATTTTTTTGTCAGGAACTACTACTGTCAAAACATTATGCCCTACAAAACTAGGTTAAATTCCATCTTCCACCAAGTAAACACACGATTCAGCTCTATGCGTATATCCAGGAGCTAGGATAATACCCAATAAACCAAAGCTGGCAACTCCCATGTAGCTTTAAAAAATCCAAAATCAACAAAACTCAAAACCCACAAAGGTCACATAAAAGACACTAAAAAGCAAGTCCTCACTGGGAATATAATCTATTCACAAGTACTTTGCTTCATCACACAGTTTTAAATATTTAAGGTCATCCAATACTTGATTTCCACATCCAATTCCCCCTTAATGCACTTATTAAAATAACTTACGTTTCCTCTTCCTGTTAAACACATTACTTACAGTTCAATCAAGTTTAGACTATTCTAGCTGATTTAAGTATTTTAAAGAAGGGAAGAAGGGAGGAAAAAAATAATCAAAATCCTAACTAGGGGTTTGCTGCCAGCAGTTATTCAAGACCTAGCTGGACTTAACTAACAAATGCAAGTTACAATTGAAGTTCAAACACTTAGAAAAAGTAATTTTCAGAATACTTTGAAAGTAAAAATGCAGTTGATAGTGCAAACACAGTAGGACCTCAAGGATAATTCAATGTTATGAAGTAAGACTGCTTCAATTTTTACTGAACTTACACGTTTTTATATCCAACTGCACCAATAATTAATTACTTTTTAGATACTTCAGACATATTGTTCTGAAAGCAGCTCCATAATCTATTGAGTATACTAACTCATTGACTTTTAATCTCCTTTTACTTGGTCATTTAGTACCTAATATGTAACATGAGTGATACAGAAGTCTGGAAAAGCTATTGTGTTTTATGCCAGATTTCTTTAAAAGATAATTCATTAAATTAGTTATAAATTTTAGATGACCAAGTTCTTGTCACGGAAAATGTCCACCTATTCCTGAATGCTTACATTAATTGAACAATAACTGATTTTAGTTTATCTTTTCCATTGCAAGGAAAAAAAAAAACACAAACAAAACAACAACAAAATCCAGCAATCCATCTTGTCAAAATCCAAAGACAACCTTCTATTATACTATTGTCCCTAAGTGCTACAAGGAGAAATAAAGTTTTAATTGGGACAATGCTATGTAGTCCTTCATCTCTTCTCCCATGGAAAGTCTTAGAGCTTTAACTAGATTTAGGTTCATGCATAAGAATACAGCTGTGACTTACTCACAGAATACATGGACTTCATTGTCTTATGTCTGCAAAGTTTATGATCACATGTACAGCTATTAAATAATGGATTCTAAATTAAAATAAAGGGGTACTAGCTTAGTTTTTTTCTTCTAGCTTCAAAATAATTATCTCTTCTATATGTCATAAAACATGGTCAACAAATATAATCATGTAATAATATAAAAAGTGTTGAGGTCAGAAAAGAGAAGAGTAAAAAGAGCTTCTTATTATCCTTAGCATCTATGAATGGAATGATTTCAGTTCCTTATCAAAAGCCAGAATTCCATTTCTCACACTAACAAATACAAACACAGTTTCTAATCACTAGGTGTTTCAGTCTCTGCTGGACCTCTGATCAGTCTTCGTATTCCCCTCTTCCCTGCAGGACCTTTTGGTTTAGCAAAACTCTGTTTGTAAGCATGTTGTTTTGGATGTACTTCTTCATAAAGAAAGTCAGCAGTTAACTCATCACCATTATCTATTTCAATCTGGCACAAAAAAACATCATACTCAAAGTCAAAAACATTTAGAAATGTTGCTGAAACTCAATACTATATTAAAACCACATGTGCAGTAATGTTCAAAGTCAAGCATGAAAAGTTCTCCAACCTGTGCCTAATACCCTGAGAAATACTCGCTGGTTTTTCTAAGACTCCCCTACACTCTTACCACTATTAACTGTGACTTAATTATCTTCCTGAAATGTAAGCACAACTAAATTGTACATATGCTAAGGACTTCTTTTTGTCCCAAGCTTTGGCACAGTGTACTTGTTAACACTAATTAGAAGAACACATTCCACATGAACTAGTGCTTACTTACTCATTTTAAATATTTACACATTTTAAGAATCAAAATTGTTCACTATAACATGTTTTAAACACTACTGTATGTAGTGCAATGTGCATGCATATTGTAATCTCTTGAGAAAGAGGGGGAGGAGTATAAAGCTCATATTATTAGCTAGCTACTGCCACTCAGCAAGTACTCAAGTGTTTAGCAAGGAAAAGCTAAAATAATGAACAAAAGGGAGGGGAGTGTTTTAGTTTTCAAAATCTAGATACATGAAACCAAATAGAAAGAAAATAGTGTTCTCAAGCCAAATTCCACTGTTTTAAATTGCAGGAATTTAGAATTCAGGAGAAATGCTATGGCATTGCTGTGCTGAGCATTCAGCACTTCATGCCCAGCCAAGCATAACACTTGACAGACTTGCCAGCCCCAGTTCTGCTGTTACAAGTACATGCTTCAGAAATGTCTG